AATCAAAATCAAGAAGTTGTTGTTTCATCCAAAGTATTTGAGCACAACAGATAGCAGCTGCAATATATTCTGCCTCAGCAGTAGATAACGCCATTGAATTTTGTTTCTTACAAAACCATGGAGTGAATTTCCAAGAAATTGACAAGTACCACTAGTGCTTTTTTGGTTAAGTCTGCATCCCACAAAATCGGCGTCTGAGTAACCATAGAGATCAAAAACATTTGTTTTAGGGTACCAAAGACCCAAAAGTGGAGTACCAACGAGATGTCTAAAAATGCGTTTTACTGTAGTGATGTGTGATTCTTTTGGAGTTGATTGAAAATGAGCACACATACACACACTAAACATGATATCAGGTCTACTAGCTGTTAGATAGAGTAAAGAGCCAATCATACCTCGATATTTCTTTTCGTCTACTGGTTTATCTTGCTCATCTTTGTCAATTTTAATCGATGTGCTCATAGGAGTAACTGTGGGTCTGGACAAGTCCATTTCAAATCTTTTGAGAAGATCTTTGATATATTTTGCTTGAGATAGATGAATACCATCTTGGGTTTGTTTTATTTATAATCCGAGAAAGTAGGTCAATTCTCCCATCATACTCATTTCAAATTCCCCTTGCATATCCTTAGCAAATTCCTCGCATAAAAATTCATTAGTAGCTCCGAATATGATATCATCGACATAAATTTAAACTATGAGCATATCATCATTTTCTATTTTTATGAAAAGAGTGGTATCAAATTTTTCCCGATAAAAACCTTTTTCAATGAGAAAATTGCTCAAGCGTTCATACTAGGCTCTAGAAGCTTGTTTTAAGCCATATAAGGCTTTTGAAAGTTTAAACACGTAGTCTGGGTGTTTGTGATTTTCAAAACCAGGAGGTTGTTCAACATATACTTCCTCCGAAATAAAACCATTTAAAAAGGCACTTTTCATATTCATTTGGTAAAGTTTAAAATTTCTAAAACAAGCAAATGCAAGCAACATACGTATGGCTTCAAGGCATGCAACGGGTGCAAATATTTCGTCAAAATCAATACCCTCTTCTTGGTAACCTTGGGCTACAATTCTAGCTTTGTTACGAATAACAACATCGGATTCATCCATTTTGTTTCGAAAGATCCATTTAGTTCCAATAACAGAGTGTTCTGTAGGGCGAGGAGACAAATTCGAAACTTCATTTCTTTCAAACTGATTTAACTCTTCTTGCATAGCAAGAATCCAGTTCTCATCAAGTTCAGCCTCAGAAAAAGTTTTTGGTTCAATTTGAGAAACAAAGGCTAAATTACCACAAATATTATTAAGAGACGAACGAGTTCTTACTCCTTGAGTAGCGTCTTCTATAATGAGATTTTTGGGATGTCCATGAGCATACTTCCACTCTTTGGGTAGATCATGTTCCTTTATGGGATGGGCATATTCTTTTTGAAGATCTTCCATAGAAATTTCAACATTGGGTTTCCAGGAATGAAGTTCATCATTTTCTGATAAGTAAAGGCTTTCAATCCTTAAATTAGAATCTGCAGCATCATCAATAACAATATTCTTGGAAGCAAATGAGTTAGATTCATCAAAAGCAACAAGTATGGATTCTTCAACGAGTAAGGTTCTTTTATTAAAATGCTTTACTAGAGTTTGCATATCCAAGAAAAATAGCTTCATCAGATTTTGCGTCAAATTTCCCTAGATTCTCTTTATTGTTATTTAGTACGAAGCATTTACAACCAAATGCATGAAAGTGGCCGATGTTGGGTTTTTTACCTTTCCATAGTTCATATGGCGTTTTCTTCAAAATGGGTCTAATCACGGCACGATTAATAACATAGCAAGCAGTATTTACGACTTCTGCCAAAAAATATCTTGGCAAATTATTTTCACAAAGCATAGTACGAGCCATTTCCTTAAGAACTCTATTTTTTCTCTCTACCATACCATTTTGCTGAGGCGTTCGAGGAGCAGAAAAATTATGATCAATGCCATGTTCATTACAAAATAGAATAAATTCATCATTATCAAATTCTCTACCATGATCACTCCTAATGGTACAACTAGTAAGACTAACTATATTTTGAATACGTTTACAAAGAGCTGAAAAAGCAGAGTAAGTATCACTTTTGTGTGCCAAGAAAATCACCCAAGTAAATCTAATATAATCATCCACACAAACAAGGCAATAAGATTTTCCTCCAAGACTTAGAGTTCTAGATGGACCAAATAAGTCAATATGCAATATTTGAAGTGGTCTAGATGTGGAAATGATATTTTTGGATTTGAAAGAGACTCGTGTTTGTTTTCCTTGTTGACAGGCATCACAAAGTCTATCATTTTCAAAAGTAATTTTTGGCAAGCCAATGACCAAGTCAAATTTTGAACGTCTTGAAAGTAAATCCATATGAGCATGTCCTAGCCTCCTGTGCCATAACCAACCAGATTCATTTAAAGCAGATAAACACTTAACATTGTGATTATGAGATAAACTACGCAAGTCAAAAGTATACACGTTCTCATCCCTATGACCAACAAAAAGCACTGAGTTATCATTTGAATTTTTAATAGTGTAGAAGGACTTATCAAAGGAAACATGATTGCCTTTATCACACATTTGACTAATACTAAGCAAGTTATGTTTCAATCCTTTAACAAGCAATACGTTCTCAATAATAGGTGACGAAGTTTTACCGATACTACATTCACCTATGATTTTTCCCTTACTATTGTCTCCAAAGGTTACATGACCTTCGTCTTTGGATTTAAGAGTTGACAACATTGCTCTATTGCTGGTCATGTGCCTTGAGCAAGCACTGTCAAGTTACCACCGGTTGTTGCTGAATTTTGACCTAAAGCACACCTGCAAGAATCAAATTTTTGTTGGCTTTTTGGTACCCATTCTTTTTTGGGTCCATGAAGGTTAGAAGTTGAAGTGTTTTTGGGAACTCACTTCTTTTTCATTTTATTGAATGAGTTTCTCTTAGCAGGGCATAAAGGAGAGATATGGTCTTTTCTTCCACAGTATATGAGTATGGTTAGATGAAGAATATCCAAAGGATTTTTGGGAAGTTATAGCTTTCGAAAATGGTTTATAGCCAATCCCTATTCTTCCAAAGGTTTGAGTTTGACTTTTGAGAATTTTGTCTAAGGTATCTCTCACTTGAGTAAATTTTGAAAGAACATTTTTTAGATCTTCTATGTTTTCATTTAAGATAATTTTCTTTTTTTTTTTAAATTTCGTTTTCCTTTTGAAAAACTTCTTTTTCCTTTGAGAGTTCTTTCTCTTTTTCCATTGGCAAGACTTCATTTTCTAAAGTTTTGATTTTAGAAGTTTAGAATTCCTTTTCTTGAGATAAATTTAAAATCATTTTCTTTTGACAATTATTTTTCAAACTTAATTTTTTAAATTCATCATGCAAGTCATCCAAAAGCAGTTTGTAATTCATTGAAAGTAAATGAGTCATCATTTACCTCATCTTCAAGTGTCATTAAGCATAGATTTGTTACTTCATTTTTGCAAATGTCCATCTCTGAGTCGCTGTCATCACTGTCTTCTCCCCATGCTGCAATCATGGCCTTCTTCTTATCCTTTTTGAATTGTTTTTTAAGCTTTGGACATTTTGATTTGTAATGACCCGGTTTGTTACACTCATAGCAGATTATTTCAGCCTTTTTATGACTTTCTCCTTTTTGAAGATCTTTGTTAAAATCTTTTCTGAAAAACTTCCTTACACCTTACTTCTTCTTCACAAATCTTTTGAATCTTTTGGTAATGAAAGCCATCTCTTCGTCTTCTTCCGAAGCATCATCTTCTTCCTCTTAAGATTTTGTGGTGGATTTGAAAGCTATCCCTTTCTTCTTATTCTTGTCTTCTTCTTCTTTTCCTTCTTGCATAATGATCTCATGGGTTAGAAGAGATCCCATTAGCTCATCAAGACTTAATGTTAACATATATCTTGCTTCTATCACTGCAATGACTTTGTTCTCTCAACTTTTTGGCAATGATCGAAGGACTTTTCTAACAATTTCTGCATTAGAGTAAGTCTTCCCAAGGGATTTAAGACTGTTAATAATATCAGTAAAACGAGTAATCATTTGGGATATGTTTTCAGCTGGTTTCATCTTGAAGAGCTCATAGTTATGAACGAGTAAACTCACTCTAGATTCTTTAACTTGAGTGGTTCCCTCATGAGTTACAATAAGTTTATCCTAAATTTCTTTAACAGTAGTGCAAGTGCATATTCTGTTAAACTCGGTAGCATCAAGTGCACAATACAACATATTAATAGCTTTGGTATTTAATTGAATATCTTTATAGTCAGCACTCGTCCACTCACTCTCAAGTTTGGGTACTAGCAGACCATCTACGGTTTTAGTGGGTACCTTAGGACCCTCACATATGATTTTCCAAACTTCATAGTCAGTAGATTGAATGTGCATAATCATGCGAGTTTTCCAATAGTTAAAATTTATTCCACTAAAGAGGGGAGGTCTGTTTGAGGCTTGACCTTCAGGGAGAGAAGAGCTAGGGTTTGCCATAGATCACTCTAAGACGGTTAAGTCAAGTTACTAAAAACGAGGCTCTGATACCAATTGTTAAACATGAAAGCAACCCAAGAGGCGGGGTGAATTGGGTAATTAAAAATTTGATCAAAAAATAAGGTTCAAAAGAACTTATGTAAATAAATACAGCAAATAATCATAAGATTAACAGACAGTAAGGAGAGTAGGAAAGAAGAACTTAACACATAGACTTATAGTGGTTCGGCTCACCGGCCTACGTCCACTCCTCATGAATCCTCTGTGAGAATTTCTTCACTATGAATCGATACACCACCAAGTTCTTCCAACTTGAGGTTTAATTTTACACAAGGACTTACTTCAATCTGTTATGGAACTCACTCAACAAAATGCCTCACTTTACAACTGTTTTACTCAGAAACTAAGAACTTAGAAGAAGAGGTTCAATAGTCCTCTTTGGCTATTACAATCTCTCAAAAGATGGAATATGAAAGTGAAAGATCTCACAAAGTTTTGGACTTGTTTAAATCTGAAAAATGGGAGAACACAAGTCAAATAAAAGATATACCAGTGATGCTCAGAATGTTTAGAGTTGTTGCAGTGGAATGTCGTACTTGCAGCTGTGGAAAACTTCCTGATTTATAGCCTTCTTGTTCGACTCAAATCGTTGAAGAAGGAACATACTCACGTGAGTAAACTATCCGTTGGAGCTAGACAATGAGAATCCTTTCCAGCTGTTGTGAGTGGAGAATGTTTGGTGTTGACTGTTTTCTGACCATTGGAAATGGAGCTTCCTCAAAGGAAGTGATGCCCATGCTTGGAAGATAAGAAAATAGTAGAGGGACATAATGTTGTCTCCATGTTCTTTCCTTTTTCTGATCTTGGGAGAGGTGTGAGTGGAGAATGTTCCCTCCATTATGTTAGAAAATGTTGTCTCAAGATTCCTTTTGATTAGTATAAAATATGTCTGAGAATGATGTCACAGATACCCTCTTTGAGATGGAAGATGGCAGTTAGGTTTTGTTCAACCCAGACATAAGGGTGTCAACCCCTGCAAGTTGGGTGTCGATCCTTTGCTCTGATTTTTCTTTCTTGAGTTGAGGTACACGTGTTCCTGATGTCAACCCTTGCTACTGATGGTGTCGATCCTTGTGGCTGAAGTGTATACTATTTTTTGGTGTCGACCCTTGCTGCTATTGGTGTCGACCCTTACCATTGGAGTGTATACTGCTTTTTGGTGTCAACCCTTGCTGCTGTTGGTGTTGACCCTTACCATTGGAATGTATACTGCTTTTTAGTGTCGACCCTTGCATTTGAAACACTTAGCCATTTTTTCAACTTCTTTCTGGTGTCGACCTTTGCTTTTTTGGTGTTGACCTTTTGTTTTGGAACACTTTAACTTTTTAGAAGATTATTATAGTGTCGATCCTTGGACCTGTGTTTAGCCAGAGATAAAGTTTTGCAACCAAGAGCTAATGCTTATGTTTTTGATATTTTAAAAGGTTTTTTGAAACAAAATTATCTTCAATCTCAAAATAATTTGAATCAAGAAGTACAAATGTTAATTTTGAAAACTTTAAATAATAAAGTGTCCGTCATAAATCAAAATCAAATCGAAATTCAAGTTTGAGTAACCTTGGGGCTAACAATCTCCCATTTTTTGATAATGACAAATAATTAAAGTTTTCAAACTATATGTTTCAAAAAGCAAGTGTTGAAATAAATCAAGAACTCCCCCTATCAATAGGGCTTCATGACCAAAGTAAAGAGAGTGAGAGATGAATAGATAAAAAGAAGGCTGTGAGCTTCGCCTTGTCAATGTGTGTGTTCGTATCACAAGTATTGAATGAAATCACAACCTTACAGAAAATGTAAAATATTTGATATTTATTTCAATGAATAAATAAATACATAAATAAGATTATAAACTCCAATATCAATATGCGAAGATATCATCACGTACTCAAAAGGGTTGTATCTGCAAAAAGGAAAAAAAAAGAAGAGACATTTACAATATAATTAATTTCAAACTTACAGAAAATGTAAATATTTCATGTTTATTTCAATAAATAATAAGATTGTAAGCTCCAATATCGATATGCCAAGATATCATCACATACTCAAAAAGATTACATCTGCAAAAAGAAATCAAAAAAAAAATAATAGTAATCATTTACAATATAATTAATTTCAAGCTTACAGAAAAAGTAAAACTTTTGATATTTGTTTCAACAAATAATAAATACAAAAATAAGATTGTAACATATATATAAATCAAGTGCCAAACAATGATACTTTACAAAACAACACAGTATAGGGTCCATACTATTGTGAGTGTTCTGTAATCCATTCTATGGTTTGTTTGTGTATGTAGAACTACTGTTATAAAATTAGTGCACAAGGCGCATGGGTCAAACCTTTGGATGTGATCAATTATTCAGTCTCTTGGAATAGTAATCATTTACAATATAATTAATTTCAAGCTTGCAGAAAAAGTAAAACATTTGATATTTATTTCAACAAATAAATAAATACAAAAATAAGATTGTAACATATATATAAATCAAGTGCCAAACAATGATACTTTACAAAACAACACAGTATAGGGTCCATACTATTGTGAGTGTTCTGTAATCCATTCTATGGTTTGTTTGTGTATGTAGAACTACTGTTATAAAATTAGTGCACAAGGCGCATGGGTCAAACCTTTGGATGTGATCGAGAATGAGAAGCCTTGGTCCAAGAGGGATTTGGACATCTCTAAGAGCACTGAAACATATCACTGTGGAAAATACCATCAAAATATAAATACAGTTAAAATGAAAGTGTAAGGGATGGGTGAATCTTAACTACTTGCCTATCGGTGAGCAAAGGCAAAATGGTGTCGGTTAACAAGCCTTTCTTGAAATTCTTCTCATAATTCTGGAGGCCAACGTTGATTAACATGCTTCGCGTTTTCACATAGAGCACATCTTCAACTGCTGGTTGAGAAAACTTCTCCCCTAGCTGCATGACCACATGGAAAATGCTCTAAGAACGGTAAGTATATCAACACTAAACAATTATAGAATCATCTCAACATCCTCACCTGGCTCAGAGAAGGCCACAGACAATGGCATACACAAATCAATTCACGTGATACACAATTGCTTAAACCTTACTTTTCCAGGACATTCATTCAGGTTTTCCCTGTATGAAAGGTTAAATATAAATAGTTCTCTTCATATAGATTAGATACATTTTCCTCTGTTCGATATTCAAGAATTATTTTAAATTTTTTTATAGCATTCCATGCATATTTTCCTCTATATGGAAAATATTGCTAAAAAATCAGAAATCTATGCAGACTTTCTTGGCTAGGGATTTAATCTTAGGAAGGAATGCACAAAATCATGTCAAACCCAAATAATGCAATTGAATACAATAACTTTAAGCATTGTCCAAGCCTTAATGTTCAGCATGTTACCATCACATTGTAATAGATTGACTATATCATGTTGTTTTTGAAAATCTGTGGAGATGTACATAAAGAATCAGAGACAGGATCTCCAAAAACCTTGCCAATGGGACATAACTAAATATGTCTGTCTTTGCAAACTTATTTAAACTAAAGTTTTTTTCTTTGTTCAAGTAGCTACAGTTTCTGGAAGAACCTGAGGGAGTGACAGTCAGAAAAGTGAAAGTGAGTTTTCAACAAACTCAGTTTGGCTCTAAACTTAATTTCATAAGTCTTGTTTTCTGATACAAGTCATTTGTGCCTAATTAGTCAAGTGTGTCAAGTTTCATTGACATCCAACGCCGTTTGACCATTTTAGTGAGTCAACCGGTTCGAAAAAAGAGTTTCTAAAGAACAAGTTTTCATAAACGGAAATTAGGCTCTAGATTTAAAACCGGGAATCAGTTTTGAGTTTCGTCTTCTCTTACAAGTCATTTGTGCCTAGTTCGTCGTGTGTGTAAAGTTTCGTTGACATCCGACGCTGTTTGAGCATTTTAGTGAGTCAGTCGGTTTGAAAAAAAAGTTTCTAAAGAACAAGTTTTTCATAAACGGAAATTAGGCTCTAGATTTAAAATCAGGAATCGGTTTTAAGTTCTGCCTTCTCCTACAAGTCACTTGTGCGTAGTTAGTCAAGTATGTCAAGTTTCATTGACATCCGACACCGTTTAAATATTTTAGTAAGTCAACCGGTTCGGACAAAGAGTTTGTAAAGAATAGGTTTTCATTAACGGAAAATAGGCTCTAGATTCAAAGTCGAGAATCAGTTTCAAGTCTCGTTTTCTCCTACAAGTCATTTGTGCCTTGTTAGTCAAGTGTGTCAAGTTTCATTGACATCCGACACCATTCGAGCATTTTTGTGAGTCAACCGGTTTGGAAAAAGAGTTTGTAAAGAATAAGTTTTCATAAACGGAAATTAAGCTCTAGATTTAAAGCTAGGAATCGGTTTCGAGTCCCGTCTTCTCCTACAAGTCATTTGTGCCTAGTACATCGTGTGTGTCAAGTTTCGTTGACATCCGACGTCATTTGACAATTTTAGTGAGTCAACCGGATCGAAAAAAGAGTTTCTAAAGAACAAGTTTTCATAAACAGAAATTAAGCTCGAGATTCAAAACCAAGAATTGGTTTCGAGTCCCGACTTCTCCTACAAGTCATTTGTGCCTAGTTCGTCGTGTATGTCAAGTTTCGTTGACATCCAACGCCGTTTGACCATTTTAGTGAGTCAACCAGCTTGGAAAAAAAGTTTCTAAAGAACAATTTTCATAAACGAAAATTAGGCTCTAGATTCAAAACCGAGAATCAGTTTCAAGTTCCGTCTTCTTGTACAAATCATTTGTGCTTAGTTCGTCGTGTGTGTCAAGTTTCGTTGATATCCGATGTCGTTTGATCATTTTTAGTGAGTCAACCAGTTTGGAGAAAAAGTTTCTAAACAACAAGTTTTCACAAACGACAAGTTTTCAAAGTGTTTGAAAGTTTTACTGCATCATCTGGTGGTGGTGTATGTGGGTTCTCATCGGCCTCATAATCCATAGGTTCACTGTGGCCACTTAATGCATCCGGTACATATGATATTCATGGTATTCTTTTTCTTAATCGTATTTATATTCAATGATAGAATTGTGCTGAAATTAGATATTTATAAAACATAATTTATACCAAATATGTTTGTTGTGATTTATACTCCTCTTCTTGGGACACAATAGCCAACATTTCAGCTTTCACTTGTCGTATCTGTGTTGAAAGCTCTGCTCTCATCTCCTCCCTCAATTCTTCTCTAATCTCATCCTTCAGCTCTTGTCTTAACTCTATACAAACCTACTTGGTGATCTCAGCAACAGTCGATGACTAAGATCCTGACTATGATGACTTAGATGCATCTCCATCAAGTGATAAAGCTAACCTGCAAATGCCATAGGTTTCCAAAACATAAGTATATTATGGGCTTTAAAATTAAAAGTTCCCAAAACAATTTTTTTTTTTTTTTGGGAAAACATATCCTAGTGGGAAGTGTTTAATTTATGAGTCCCACAACTTTCTAACTAAATGAACATGGACAAAAGTTATGGGAAAGTTGATTTTTCCTGTACTTTGCTTGTTTTTCCTAACAACTAAACGGAGCCTTTATGATTAGACGATTCATCAAAAAACATTCCATGGTTAGTGCATCACTTGACATTGAATTCAGTAGTGCTATACAAACTAACAGACTCAAAAGACACTTTTGAAATAAAAAAACAATTCTTAATACTTCCAAAACTTCCACTTCAAGCTATTCACAAATTTATTTGCAAAATCTATCAATTAGAACAACAATTCTCCTATAAGATTGTATAATTGTATCCTTGCCCTATCTATTTGTTGTTTCCTAAAACAATAACATTCATCTAGATGGAAGTGTGGTTTCAACATGAGAAATGGCACTCTATCGCCATTGGTGATAGAGAAATAGCATCATTGATCAAACACACCATAAGGGTACAGGACTAATAGGCCAAAAATGGGTTTGTGTCGCAGTTATTGAACGATCTACTCCACACAGTTGTGAACTTATAAGGCTAGAGAAATTTTTTTTCCATACAATGAAGGCCAGAACCATATTAAAAATAAAATTAAAAAAAATACTTTCTATTCAACAGAAAACTCAAGGTGCAATAGTAAATAAATACTCACTTGTCCTTGTACAAACTGAAAACCCCATTGGAATGAATTAAGTCATAAGACCTTGGATATGTGAAGAAAGCTTCACTCCTGAACCCAAAAGATTATAATTTGTGAATACGTAATTTTTATCTTTGTGTTGAATACAAAGAAAGGAAATGAATAGAGTAATAAAAGTTGGACTTAGGCCAAACAAATAAATTTTGTCCAACTAACAGTGAGCATCTCACGTCAACAGAAGGTAAACAAATCAAAACCTTGCCAACCCAAGTCATTAATAAATAGTTTGTTATCCCCATAACAGATCTTCCAGAAGACTGCAAAGGTCAAAACTGAAGTGTGACTAAGGAACCTCACTTCTTGCATAGATACAATGGTTGACATAAACTACTAGGTAATTTACACATCATACAAAATCTCTTTTTTGGGTTGGGTTGGTTTAAAAAACATGTAAAATAGAGTCATATCAATTAGCCGAGCAGGATAGATATTGATCAATTAGGAGAAGTGGTAATGTGGGTTTATACCATTTCTTATCTTTCTTTAAGTGAAACAAAATTGAAACCAACATCAATATTATATGAGCAACACAAATGAACCATAAGATAAGAAGCCGTGTTATAGCATAGCAAATTAAATTCAACTAAAGGACTCAAAATTGTGTAATAAGAAGATTGTTAATTTTCTCAATTTTTCACATTCCTTGGGTTTAGCCAACTTTTGTCTACACGTTCTATCAGTGTCAAGCAAATGGGTATCATTCAATAAGGGTGCAAAAGACTTGGTTGGTGGCACTTATGCGCTCGATGTGGAGTTTATGAAGAAGCGGAATAAACGTACTATAGAGTATATAAATATGACAATACATAGATTGAAGATATCTCTACTTCATAACTTTTATTTTTGAAATAAAAGAAAATTTGTGAATCTTCTTTTCCTAACCACAAGTCAAAAGCCATTTCTTCTTTTACCATTTCTCAAATATGAACTATATTCCACTGTTCTAAAAGTACTGCTAAATTGCCAACCACATGAAAAGAATAGATGTCACCTCAAAGAGAATTAAGAGAGAGAAAGAGAGTTTATAACAAAAATTCTCTACCACGAATGCAATAGCTTCCTTAAAATAATACTCTGAAGAAATCCACTACTTTGTGACATCATAATTCAAAACATAGATTCTTAAAATGAAACCAAATCTAAAGTGTTTTTGTTTATTAATGTTGAAGAAAATCTCATAAATTTTTAATGAAAATACTAACCACAGTCTAATGTTGATATACATATAAAAAGTATTAAAATATATAAAAAACCAACCAACAATAGCCAAAAAAAACCAAGCACAAGCCTAAAAAGTAGCACTGCAACATCAAACAACCAAAAAAAGAAAAAATAGGGAAAAAAAAAACACCAAACAACCCTCCAGCTGAAAATGCTACCCAGCAACAGCACACAGCAAGCCCAACTACGAGCTTGAAGCATTACTCCAAAACACTGAATAATTTCCCCCAAAATTGGCCACTCTTAGTGTAAAATGTTATCCAACCAAGCATCAATTGATATCTATCATTGATCCACTCAATTGTATGAATCAATAGGGCCAAGAAAGATGAAAAAAAAATATTGTTCATAATAAGCCATACCCAACCAAGTTCTAAACATCCTTACAAATCTACAGCCTACATTATCAATGCTCTCAATTATTACATTGACCTCTAAGACATTTGGCATCCATGTTAACTACCATTCCCTTAATTTTTAGTTTCAGAGGAAACTCCCCTATACCAACATCACTAACAACCTCTTTGTTGCCCTTGCCCAAAATTCTTGCAACAGTTCATTACCAACAAAGTTGTGGGATTATTTTCCATGTCTAAAACAGTTGGAGCACCTAACGTGTCATTTCCCTTAATGGATTAAATAAATAATAATATTTTCACATGTATGCAAATTAGTATTATTTATTAAAACTAAATGCATTGCATCTTAGGTTAATAAATAAATAAATAAATAAAGCAAATGAAATAGTCTAAATTTTCAAAGAAGTTCTGCTTGCACATTGTGACATTTGATCAAACACGTAGCAGACACAAAGGGAAGTTAAAGAAATCTAAGAAAATAAAACCCAAACAGAGAGAGAATAAAGATATACAGAGGGGTGATCAAAAATCAAAGCAATCATAAAAAGGAAATGAAACAAAATATTCAAAACCAAACTGTGAGAGAGAGAGAGAGAGAGAGAGAGAGAGAGAGAGAGAAGGGATCTAAAATACCTCATGATATTTCTCAATATCTGTCTCCAATTCTTGAATACTCGAAGTGACGACGGCGGCGCTAACGCTTGCTCGAAGATACGACGTCGGTGGTAGCACTGAAGGAGAAGAATATGTGACATCGGCGGCAACGCTGAAGAGAGAGGAGCTAGGGTAGAAAGCGAGGAGGGCAGAGAATGAGCGTGTGTTTTAAGAGAGAGAAGGGGGAGAAAGAATTGTGCGAAGATTTGGGGCAAAAAATTGGGCGCCATTATGGAATTTGGGTATGGGGTCGAGGGCGCGAAAGTAATAATAAGGATTAAGTTTTTGCAACGAGTTGAAGGACCGTCGCGAATGAGTAAACATAAAGTCTTTTGTGATGGACTAACAAAAGGTGTCACAAAAAAAATAAAAAGATGAAATTTTTTTTTGCAACGAATAACATACCGTCGCGTATAATATTACTTTTTACCACAATCTTGGATTTTCCGTCTCTAATAATGGTATTTCTTTTGTACCTTTTTTGCAACCATCAATTGTCATCACAAAACAATTAATTTCATGACAGTTTCTTTGACCATCGCAAAAGCTTGCTTTTTGCGGTAATTTTTAAACCATCGCAAAAAACTCCGTGTCTAAAGCCTCATTTTCTAGTAGTGTCGTACCTACACCCATACAAAATATTTATATATATATATATATATATAACTACTAATCTTTGGGTAGCACTTGTGATGCTGTTTTTGTTAAATTTTGTTGTTAAATTGTAATCATAAGATTAGCCTAAGACATTTAATTACACGAAGGGAAGTGGTTAAATTTGATTGAGCCCTGACCTAAATAAAATTTACCTTATTAGCTTTGTTAAAAAACCTCACTATTTCCACGCTAAATCTTGGCTAAACCAAGCATAAATCAACTCAGGCTAGTTGGTAATCTAGCAACCAAACACCAAGGCTCTATAGTTGAAGATTCATAAGATTTTTAATTTATACAATATTTATAATAATAATAAAAAAAATACATGTCATGAAATCATTGGATTTTTCACTATTTATTAGGCTAGCTGCTTTTCCATAACTGTATGGGTCTACTAGTTATTTTTTAACATTAATGCATTTCCTATCATTTTGGCAAAACAAAAAACAAAAAAAAAAACAAACAAACAAACGAACGAACGAACAAACAAAAATCTATGGATTTTTTGCCTCAAGTCATGGATGGGTCGAGGGGGTACGGTGGCATACCCAAGATTAGAAAAGTTATATACATTATATTACTAATAATAAGACAATTCTAAAAAATGAGAAGTTACATGTTTATTTATCTTTCTAAAATTTAAATTTTGGATCCGTCATTGCCTCAAATATAATTAGTTGTTATTTGATCAATATGATAATATCGTTCTATTCCTTTAATAAAAGGTCAATTGCATTTCTAAAGTTCTTTTTTCTATTTAAATTTCACTATTTTCATTTAGAGACTTAAAAACAATATATGTTTCTTCCACATAATCTTTATATACAAAACAAAATTTTAAAAATATATATTAGAGTTCAAACAAAATATGTCACAAAATTGAGTTATTTTCATCTAATACTTTTGTTTTCAATTTTATGTCACACAATAACTTCTCTTTTCTTTTTCTTTTTCTTTTTCTTTTTAATAAGAGAATGGATTTTTCGCATTAAAAAATTTGGTGACTCTTTACTACAAAATGTCAATATAGTATTCTTATTGCAGTTTTAAAATATGTATACTAAATTCCTTTTTCAAACAATTTATACACATGTAAAATAATAGTCCTCTTCTGAATAAAAATTACAAATCTATTATAATTCAGTGTAAACTGTATTAAGCGTAAAACCTTTTTCTTTTCTTTTTTTTAAAGTAGTTTTATTTTTGATAAGTATATGTTTCTAAATTTCACATTTTCATTTTGTTCATAGCATGGGTGCACTGCTGATACATACAATGCAAAAAATATCAATTCTCTTCTTGTTTTCTTCGGATTAATTTCCTGTTGTACCACATATTTTAAATAATAATAATAAAAGAGAAATTCTATTTATCATCGATTTTTCATCCTTATTTTGTATCACCACTTACATGTATATTTATGATTGGCTCCCTTGTTTAGAAATAATTCTTAAGAAATTAATAAAAGTAGATAGCATCTTGCCGGGTCATGCTCCGGAGCTCTAATTAGAGCTGCAAAAGTGCAACTCTATTGAGCTGTCCAACCATAAAAAAAAAAAATAAAAAAATAAAAAATAAAAAATAAAAAAATAGTGAAATAAAAGACAAAAAAGAAGAAAGAAAAAGACAAATTAAAAATGCATTAGTGGTCTTTGTTTAGATAGCATCTTGCCATGTATGCAATTATATAAAAACGATGAAAAAAATCAAGTGATATATAAAAGCACTCGTATAGTAAAATCAACAACGTTTGGGAAAGCAAACCGAATTCAAATAGAAAAGGTTTGGGAGAGAGCATTGATTGGACAGGGTCGAGCATAAGGGTCGGTAGGGAATAACTGCCAAGATTTATGATGAAAGTTTGAAGTTATATGACTAAAATAATTTAGGTTAAAATTTTAAAAAAAACAATTATTAACAAAATTTTAAAAAACTTGACGCGTTGGCTTATTTTGAGAAGCTGGTTTTTTAGTTTTTTTTTTAATAAAAAAAATATGCAAAAAAAAAAAAAAAAACAGTAGCAAAAGGAGGGGGGAAACAACCCCAAAACAAGATGAAATGACACCCGATGCATGGAATTTCTCCCGAAATGCAAAACTAGGTACATGAAATGGCTTACAGCTATACAAAGCATGCATAATTGGTACATGGAATGAATTTGACACTTTCATTTCATGATACAGAGTCGCCACCTAAATGTTTTTT